GCGTGGACCACCATGGCCAGATCCGACTTCCCAAGGTACGGGTGCAGCTGGCGCACAAGTTTTAATTGTGCAGAAGCTCTCCCGGCTACCGCCGAGACCTGGGGTTCTAGGCTCAGCAATGAGTCCAGGATCACTCCCAAGCTGCGAACCTGAGTCTTCAGGGGGAGTGTAACCCCGTCTAACACAGGCTGTAACCCTATGCCCTGTTCGGCCTTATGGCAAAATTCACCCCTGAAGTTTGGCTGGTAAGATTTCTTAGAGGAGGCTTCACCATTGTCTTTACTGAGGGTTCATGAAGAGAATGAGAGGCCAACAGTGTTGGAGCGGGACAGAAGAAGGAGTGTGGCAAAGACATGGGTTTTATTAAGCCAAAGCTGCAGTCTTACATATACAGGGTGAGGCAGCATAACTTTCCTTTTTTAAAATGCGCACCATTTAGTCGGTAGAAGACTAAATGGAGATCGTGTGAGGTTGGAGAGAGGCTCACGACAGCAAGTCCCTTGACATGAGGGTTCTGTGTGGGGGGTTTGGCCCAATTCTATTGTTGGTGAGGTTCAGAATGCTGTTTGCTTGTAGGAGAACTATACATCCCAGCAACTACAACTCCCAAATGTCAAGGTCTATTTCCCCCAAACTCCACTAGTATTCACATTTGGTCATATTGAGTATTTGTGCCAAGTTTGTTCCAGATCCATCATTATTTGAGTCCATAGTGCTCTCTGGATGTAGGTAAACTACAACTCCAAAATGCAACACCAAATCCTTCCAATATTTTCTGTTGGTCATGGAAGTTCTGTGTGCCAAGTATGGTTCAATTCTATCGCTGGTGGAGTTGAGAAAGCTCTTTGGTTGTAGGTAAACTATAAATCCCAGCAACTACAACTCCAAAATTACAAAATCTATCCCAACCCCACCAGTATTCAAATTTGTGCATATCACGTATTTGTGCCAAATTTGGTAAAATGAATGAAAATACATCCTGCATATCAGAGAGTTACATTATGATTCCTAACAGTAGTAAAATTACAGTTCTGAAGTAGCCACGAAAATAATGTTATGTTTGGGGATAATCACAACACGAGGAATTGTATTAAGGAAGGTTGAGAAACACTGGCATAGTTGGTAAGCTCTGTTCTTCTTTCATTTCTATGCTTTGACTTTTCCAGGTGAACAAGATGGACATTCAGTATGCAAAGGTGGCCAAAAAGATGGACATGAAGAAGCTGAAGCAGACCATGTGGCGCCTCCTGACTTACACACTGAAGGATCAAACTGAGGACGAGGTCTGCAGCAGGATAAACCTGATCCTAGTAGTCCCAGAAGTCTCTATTCCAGCGGCTCTCAACCTGGGGGTCGCGACCCCCAAGGGGGTTGCTGGGTCATTTTCTGGGGGTCGCGAAGCCGCCTCAGTTGGCCCCGTCCCCTCCAAAATGGCTGCCGGCTCCTGTGCGAGCCAAACTCCTGGTTGGCTCCTCCTCCTCTTTCCGCAGGGCTGCAGGGAGTCAGGAGGAGGAGCTTGGAGGCAAAGGGGTGCGCGGGCTCTTGCCCCCTGCCAAGCTCAAAAGGGGCGAGGATTGAGCAGGCTCCCCGCTGCTCGCCTCTCGCCCCTGCTGGGCTCGGAAGGCGCCCCACATGACCACAGCCATCCAGGGGGCCTTCTCCACTTGCCTCTCGCGCCCTCCGGAACTGAAGTGATTGGAGGTACTGAAAATCTAATCTATTGTACATGCCTCCCCCAAACCAGTATTTTCTGTTAGTAATGGAAGTCCTGTATGCCAAATCTGGTTCAATTCTATTATTGGTGGAGCTCAGAATGCTCTTTGATGCCCGGTGAACTATAAATCCACACAACTGCAATTCCCAAAGATCAGGGTCTACTTCCCCCAAACCCCTCCAATATTTTCTGTTGGTCATGGAAGTCCTGTATGCCAAATCTGGTTCAATTCTATTATTGGTGGAGCTCAGAATTCTCTTTGGTGCCCAGTGAACTATAAATCCACACAACTGCAATTCCCAAAGGTCAGGGTCTACTTTCCCGAAACCCCTCCAGTATTTTCTGTTGGTCATGGAAGTGCTGTATGCCAAATCCAGTTCAATTCTATTATTGGTCGAGCTCAGAATTCTCTTTGGTGACTGGTGAACTATAAATCCACACAACTGCAATTCCCAAAAGTCAGGGTCTATTTTCCCCAAACCCCTCCAGTATTTTCTCTTCATCATGAGGGTTCTATGTGCCAAATTTGGTCCAGGTCTGTAATTTGTGGGGGTCTCATTGGGCTGTGGAAGTCAGAGCTGAATTGGTTGAAGGAACTTCAAATCCTTTCATCCATTGTTCATACTCCCCCAAACATATTGTTTTTATCAATAATCACTATGCTTTAATTATGTTCAATTTGTTCAATTTGTAACAATGGAAATGCATCCTGAATATCAGATATTTACATTACAATTCATAACAGTAGCAGTTATGACGTAGGAACAAAAACATGGTTGAGGGTCACCACAACATGAGGAACTGTATTTAGGGGTCACGGCATTAGAAAGGTTGAGAACCACTGCTCTATTCTAATATTAGGATGATGGGATAGTAGCAGTATCACTTTCCTCCCAAAATTTGGAATCTATTTGGTTCATTGTTCAAAGGACGTATTTAAAAGATACACAATTTATTAACTCCCCCCCCCCCCGGTTCCAAATGCTCTTTGGGGTCCCAGAAAAGCATAAAAACATGCCACCATRTCTGCTAGAGGGCATTTATTATTTTTTGGAGGAACAAGTGCAATAGTGGGATTAATTATTAGAATCCTAGAGTTGGAAGAGACCTCAAGGGCCATTCAGTCCCACCCTCAGCCAGGCAGAATGACACCATCGAAGCCCTCCTGACGGATGGCCGCCCAGTCTCTGCTTGAACAAATAGAATCATAGAGTTGTATGAGACGACATGGGCCATCTAGTCCAACCCCCAGCCATTAATCTATTAATTTATTGCTAAATTTTACTGATGATGTATAATGTTTTAAAATGATTTTGTTGTGAATTTTAATTTTTATGGTATTTATGCTGTTAGCATCCTCTGATGCTCATGTGAGGCTGCGCTGAGTCCCTCTTGTGGGGAGAAGGGCAGGATATAAATATATGAAATAATAATAATAATAATAATAATAATGCAAGAAAAGCACAATCAGAGCACCCCAGGCTGTTCGGAATTGTGAGTTGAAGTCCAAAACACCTGAAGGGCCAAAGTTTGCCCAAGCCTGCCTTAAATCCTTAGCCCAATCCTGGAAGATAGGCGTGACTACACTAAAAACCTCAAGGCATTGTACAGAAATCCCAACAGGATCTGCTCCACAGGTTGTTTCCTAATTTTTGAAATTTTCCACTTTGCTTACTTACCCAGAATGAATCTCTGGAAAAAAGTAATGGCTGTTCGGTGGTTTCAGAGCAGAAGGTCTTCAGCAGCGTCACAAAGGATCTACTTCACAGGTATTTCGAGGTTTTGGCACCCTGAACTGGGATCCTGGTGGCAGAGTTTCACACCCTTTTTTACACCTTTTCTGTAGTTGCTTAGAGCAGAGGATGAACTTGTTGTAATTGAGGTACTTGTTGTAATGTTTACTTACGTTTTAATTAATTATGTCTTATTGAATTATTTTATTTTTCATCGCAATGCTTAATTCTTTGTCATAAGCTCACAGTTATTACTGTTTATTTATTTATTTATTTATTTACAGTATTTATATTCCACCTTCTCACCCCACAGGGGACTCAGGGCAGATTACAATGCACATATACATGGCAAACATTCAATGCCAGTTAGACATACAACATATATAGACAGATGCAGAGGCAATTTAACATTCCAGCTGTGCCTAAGCCTTTTCCAGCTTCATGAGGGTATGCTGAATTCTGGATTTTTTAAAAAAAATTATTGTGAGTATAAGGGTTACATAAAAAGAGGTGGAACAATTGCATTGGGATAGAAAGGAAGGAAAAGGGGAAGGAAAAAAAGTGGGAAAGAGGGTAAGGAAAGAAGTGGGGGAAAGGAACACAGCCTCACGCAGCCTTGATTCCGCCACAAGGGGGGGCTGCCGCTCCCATTAGTAATCTGGCTGCCGAACGTTGGACTAATTGCAGCTTCCGGGCAGTCTTCAGAGGCAACCCCACGTAGAGAGCATTGCAGTAGTCAATATGGGATGTAACCAGAGCGTGGACCACCGTGGCCAAGCCAGACTTGAAATGTCTACAGCAAAATGAAGCACAGATTTATCCAATGCAAGTTCTGGATTTTATTTCAAAACAGTTTGAGTTCTTTCTTTTGTATCTCTTGCAGGCTGCCCCCCACAATGGCAAAGAACCTGTCCATTCCCTTGGCCTTTGCTTCCCTTTTGCACTTGGCTAACGAAAAGGTAAGTCCAACATGCCTAAGTTTACCACTAAGGTTTGAATGGGCTCTTTTCAGTCCACCTGTGTATTCCAGATCTTGACTTTGGTCTCCCCCCCCCCCCCCTCTCTCCCTTAGTCTCTGTAATATTGGGACCAAACAAATGCCGTATATACTTGAGTGACGATGGGCCAGTTAAGTATTTCTCTCTCAGCCTAACCTATCACACAAGGTTGCTATGAGAATCAAGAATGAAGAAAGATAGCAATATATATTGTCAAGAGATCACTGTGTCGCAACTCAGGGTAGTTTTCACCTTGCTCAAGACACCACCAGACACCAAGGCTGTAGTTTTGTAGTTTGTTGAGAAAAAGCAAAATCAAAACAGAGAAATAAAGATGCAAAAGTTCAATAGGCAAAACAGAGTCTTAAATGCAAAGGCAAGGTTCCCATGATCCACAGGCAAATAACATGAAGCATAATCCCTTAGCAATGGTCAAACAAGAGTTCATGGTAAACAGGTAAAATCAGGATCAGAATCCAGTCTTCAAGAAGCCAGGAGCGTTCCGCAAAAGCCAAGGTAATTCCAAAGAAGTTAACGGGTAAGAAGCAACATTGGCCTGACAAGAAATGCCTGTCGGCTACATCATTAAATAAGCTTCCCTGACATGAAAGCATTGCGTTGACCTTTGGCTTCCCTCTTGTTAGCAAGGCGTGTGCTTCTGCGAACCTTTAATTGCAAACGATCCTGTCTGCTCATTAATTCACCCCATTATCTTTAAGGCTATACAACTCCTTATCTTGGCCCAGCTGGGCTGGATCACTCTGGGAAGCGAAAGGAGTCTCCACCTGCACTTGTGGAATTTCACTATCTCTATCTAAAGGCACATCCTTTTCCCTGGGGAACAGACTTGCTGTTTCTGCTTCAGAAGGCACACTATCAGCCCCGTCTAGAACATGTACAAGAATCTGTAACACATCAGCCTCCTCGTCATCCTGCAGAAAGTCAGGCTCACAAAGCCCAGCAGGCCCAGAAGGCCCAAACAGTTCAGTCTCAGACTCAAACTGAGCCACAACACACTGAAGGAAAGGCAAGACGTAAATGTGACTGACTAGCAAAAGAGCAAAAAGTCTAGCAGAGATGGGCAACTGCATGGAACCCACTCACTACAAGCATCCCTTTTCTATTGTATTACTTTGCATTGTTTGTTATATTTTATGCTTGCTTTATTTTATTTTATTATGATGTTGCCTTATGCTTTTTATGTTACTGTATTGTAATGCATTTCTGGGCTTGGCCTCGTGTAAGCTGCCCCGAGTCCCCTTCGGGGAGATGGTGGCGGGGTATAAATAAAGATGATGATGATGATGATGATTATTATTATTATTCGCTGGCCCGAATAGAAACCGGGGCAGCTAATTTTACCACAAAACCTGACTCGAGTATAAGCAGAGGGTGGGAAATGCAGCAGCTACTGAGGCCTTCTCATTCTGAGGGCTCCCACAGACTGAGGCCTATCGGGGGCACGGTTTTGTCCTGGCTCCGGTCCTTCCTGGAGGGCCGATCCCAGATGGTGAAGCTGGGAGATGCCTGCTCGGACCCCTGGCCTTTGACCTGTGGGGTCCCGCAAGGCTCTATTCTATCTCCCATGCTTTTAACATCTACATGAAACCGCTGGGAGAGGTCATCCGGAGTTTTGGAGTTGGGTGCCATCTCTACGCAGATGACACACAACTCTACTACTCCTTTCCACCTAATTCCAAGGAGGCCCCTCGAGTGCTGGACGAGTGCCTGGCTGCTGTGGCTGTCTGGATGAGGAGGAACAAGCTGAAGATCAATCCCGACAAGACAGAGGTCCTCCTGGTCGATCGAAAACCGGATCGGGGTATAGGGTGGCAACCTGTGCTGGATGGGGTTACACTCCCCCTGAAGTCACAGGTCCGCAGTTTGGGAGTCCTCTTGGATTCATCACTTACGCTTGAGGCTCAGGCGTCGGCGGTGTCTGGGAGGGCTTTTGCACAATTGAGACTTGTGCGCCAACTGCGACTGTACCTCGCAAAGGCTGATCTGGCCAGGGTGGTCCATGCCTTGGTCACCTCTAGATTGGACTACTGTAATGCGCTCTACGTGGGGCTGCCCTTGAAAACGACTCGGAAATTTCAACTGGTCCAACGGGCAGCGGCCAGGATGTTAACTGGTGCTCCTTACAGAGAGAGGTCAACCCTCCTGTTCAAGGAGCTCCACTGGCTGCCGTTTATTTTCCGAGCCCAATTCAAGGTGCAGGTGCTCACCTACAAAGCCCTTAAAGGTTGAGACCTGCTTACCTGCGTGACCGCATCTCTGTCTATGAACCTGCACGCTCTCTTCGTTCATCTGGAGAGGCCCTGCTCACGATCCCACCTGGTGGGGACGAGGGACAGCGCCTTCTCTGTGGTAGCCCCCCGACTCTATTATTTTAGATGAGTCTGGAGAGTTCTTTACTATTTTTTCTTGTTCCTTTCTCTCACTTCCTAATGTGCCCTCGATCCCTCCTTTCCTTCCATTGTAAGTTTCCCCTTGAAAGAGAAGGAGGAGGAAGGAAAGTTCAATGCGGATTAGACTCGAAAGCCTTCTGGTAGGAAGGCGTGTGGCTTAAAGAAGGGCTTCTTTCAGCCCCACGCCTTCCCACCAGGACCCTCATTCGAGTATAATCCAAGGGGAGCTTTTTCAGCCTAAACAGGGGCTGAAAAACCGGCTTATACTCAAGTATATACAGTAATTATTTTTGAAGACAGCTGTGTTTGCTGATTTATCCCTGCCTCCTTTGCTTCCAGAACCTGAAGCTCCAGGGATTGGAAGACTTATCAGACGTTTTGGTGACACAAGATGTTTAACTGGGCAAAAATTCTGGGAACCTCAATAAGGAAATGGAAGGGATGCAAAGATGGATGCCCTTCTTCACAACGCCTGCCCATCAGCTTGAAGAAGCTGTAGCATCAACCAAGTTGTGTTGGTTCATTGGACTGTCAAAATAATTCATGTTTGAAGCTATAGAACTGTGGACAATTGGAAGCAGCATCGATTGGGTCTTTAAACATCTTCTGAATTGTTCAGCTTCCGTCTTTTGCCATGATTGGTTTACTCTCCAAGTCCTCTAACATTTCTTGATTGCAGCATATATTCAACCTCCTCTTTCAAACATAGATCCTGTACATAGAAGACATGCCTCTCCCCTTCTCTGTTTTCACAATCTCTTTTCAGGCTGTGTAGCCATTATTTTAACAGACTTTCTGTACAAACATATTTTTGTAAAAGTAATAAATCTCAACATAGAACTTCCCTGGATTGGATTCCCTTACATTTTCTTCCATCTGGCATTTCAAACAGGTTAATAACTGAGTTGCTGTTAGTTTTCTGGGTTATATGGCTATGTTCCAGAAGCATTCTCTCCTGATACTTCGCCCGCATCTATGGCAAGCATCTTCAGAGGTTGTGAGGCATATTGGAAACTAGGCAAGTGAAGTTTATATATCTGTGGAAGGTCCAGGGTGGGAGAAATAACTCTTGTCTGTTGAAGTAAATGTGAATATTGCAATTGGCCGCCTTGAATAGCCCTGCAGCTTCAAAATGTAACTGCTTCCTGCCTGGGGGAATCCTTTGTTGGGAGGTGTTATCTGGCCCTGATGGTTTCATGTCTGGAATTCCAATGTTTTCAGAGTGTTTATTTACTTTATTTCTTTATTTACTGTTTTGATTTTAGTGTTTTTTAAAATTCTGGTAGCCAGATTTTGTTCATTTTCATGGTTTCCTCCTTTCTGTTGAAATTGTCCATATCCTTCTTGTGGATTTCAGTGGCTTCTCTGTGTTGTCTGACATGATGGTTGTTAGAGCTTTCCAGCATTTCTGTGTTCTCAAATAATACTCTGTGTCCAGGTTGGTTCATCAGGTGCTCTGTTATGGCTGACCTCTCTGGTTGATTTAATCTGCAGTGCCTTTCATGTTCTTTGATTCATGTCAGGGCATTGCTGCTGCGTTTGGTGGTCCCTATGTAGACTTGTCCACAGCTGCATGGTATACGATAGACCCCTGCAGAGGTGAGAGGATCCCTCTTGTCTTTTGCTGACTGGAGTATTGTTTATTGCAGCATTTCTCAACCTGGGGGTCGTGACCCCTGGGGGGGGGTCAGGGGGTGTCAGAGGGGTCGCCAAAGACCATCAGAAAATACAGTATTTTCTGTTGCTCATGCAAGTTCTGTCTGGGAAGTTTGGCCCAATTCTATCATTGGTGGGTTCAGAATGCTCTTTTATTGTAGGTGAACTATAAATCCCAGCAACTACAACTCCCAAATCTATATATATAAATTTCCTCCTGGCGTCGTATGAGGAAACAAAACTCAAAAACCCCCCAACGAAACTCCACCAAACTTCCCATGCCCCAAGGGCAACCAACAAGGTACAAACTAATCCACTCAGAAATCAAAAACACACAACAACAACCACAATAAACGACAAAGCAACTGAGCATGCGCACTGGCGCAAACTCCCTGGCGCGCGCACACACACATGGCCCCTCACCCTCCCCCCCGGCGCGGCACACACACGGCGCGCATGGCCCCTCCCCCCCCCCGGCGCGGCACACAAACACACACGCGTGCCCCCTCTCCCCCCCGGCGCGGCACACACGCGCGCACACCCCCCACCCCACCCGGCGCGGCACACACGCGCGCGCACGCGCCCCCTCTCCCCCCTCCGGCGCGGCACACACACACATGCACACACACGCGCGCACGCGCCCCCTCACCCCCCCGGCGCGGCACACACGCACACATGCGCGCGCGTGCCCCCTCCGCACACACACGCACGCGCGTGCCCCCTCACACCCCCCGGCGCGGCACACACACACATGCACACACATGCGCGCACGCGCCCCCTCACACCCCCCGGCGCGGCACACACACACATGCACACACACGCGCGCACGCGCCCCCTCACACCCCCCGGCGCGGCACACACACACATGCACACACACGCGCGCACGCGCCCCCTCACACCCCCCGGCGCGGCACACACACACATGCACACACACGCGCGCGCGTGCCCCCTCACACCCCCCGGCGCGGCATACACACACATGCACACACACGCGCGCGCGTGCCCCCTCACACCCCCCGGCGCGGCATACACACACGCGCGCGCACGCCTCCTCACTCCCCTGGCGCGGCACACATGCGCGCGTGTGCGGCCCCTCTCCCCCCCTGCGCGGCACACACCGCGCGCGCGCCCCCCTCCCCCCTCCCCTCCTCACGTTACCTCCAAGCCACGCCCCCTTCTAAACCCACCCCCCCTCCCCTCCTCACCTTACCCCCAAGCCACGCCCCTTCTAAACCCATCCCCCCTCCCCTCCTCCCACCTTACCCCCAAGCCACGCCCCTTCTAAACCCATCCCCCCTCCCTCCTCACGTTACCTCCAAGCCACGCCCCCTTCTAAACCCATCCCCCCTCCCCCCTCCCCTCCCCTCCTCACCTTACCCCCAAGCCACACCCCTTCTAAACCCATCCCCCCTCCCCTCCTCCCTCCTCACCTTACCCCCAAGCCACACCAGCCCCCCCCCATCCCCCCTCCCCTCCCCCTCCTCACCTTCCCCCCAGCCACGCCCCTTCTAAACCCACCCCCTCCCCCTCCCCCTCACCTTACCTCCAAGCCACGCCCCCTTCTAAACCCATCCCCCCTCCCCCCTCCCCTCCTCACTTACCTCCAAGCCACGCCCCCTTCTACACCCCTCCCCCCCTCCCCTCCTCACATTACCTCCAAGCCCCGCCCCCTTCTAAACCCCCCCCCCCTCCCCTCCTCCCTCCTCACCTTACCTCCAAGCCACGCCCCCTTCTAAACCCATCCCCCCTCCCCCCCTCACCTTACCCCCAAGCCACGCCCCTTCTAAACCCATCCCCCCTCCCCTCCTCCCACCTTACCCCCAAGCCACGCCCCTTCTAAACCCATCCCCCTCCCCACGTTACCTCCAAGCCACGCCCCCTTCTAAACCCATCCCCCCTCCCCTCCTCCCTCCTCACCTTACCTCCAAGCCACGCCCCCTTCTAAACCCATCCCCCTCCCCTCCCCCTCCTCACCTTACCTCCAAGCCACGCCCCCTTCTAAACCCATCCCCCCTCCCCTCCTCCCTCCTCACCTTACCTCCAAGCCACGCCCCCTTCTAAACCCATCCCCCCTCCCCCCCTCACCTTACCCCCAAGCCACGCCCCTTCTAAACCCATCCCCCCTCCCTCCCCTCCTCACGTCCCCCCACGCCACGCCCCCTTCTAAACCCATCCCCCCTCCCCTCCTCCCTCCTCACCTTCCCCCCAAGCCACGCCCCTTCTAAACCCATCCCCCCTCCCTCCTCCCTCCTCACGTTACCTCCAAGCCACGCCCCCTTCTAAACCCATCCCCCCTCCCCTCCTCCCTCCTCACGTTACCTCCAAGCCACGCCCCCTTCTAATCTGTCAAGGAAGAATCATAGAATCATAGAATCAAAGAGTTGGAAGAGACCTCCTGGGCCATCCAGTCCAACCCCATTCTGCCAAGAAGCAGGAATATTGCATTCAAATCACCCCTGACAGGAGAGAAAGAGGGAGGGAAAGAAAGAAGGAAGGAAGGAATGAGGTAGAAAAGGAAGAAAGGAGAGACAGAGGGAGGGAAAGCAAGAAGGAAGGAATGAGGTAGAAAAAAGACATTCAGGGATATAATTAGGGCACTTAAGGAAAATGGAATCAAAAGGATAGGGGACCTCATGGAACCCAATGGAGAAATAATAAAGTGGGATAAGATAAAAGACAAATGTGGTCAAGGAAACTGGATAGCATGGTTAGGCCTGTCCAGTAAAGCTCAGGCCATGAAAAGAAGAGAAGTAGCAGAAACCCCACTTGACAGAATAATTAAAAGAAAAGTAGAAATAGACAAAGGGATTATTGGGCTACTATATGAGGAATTAATCACCTTAACTTACAAAATAAAAACAACCCTTATAGAAAATTGAAAACAGGATGAAAGCTTCAATGAGAAATTAATTGGGTCTTGGATTGACAATATTCATAAAATTAAACATTTGAGGATCAAAGAAACCCAAAGGAAAATAATCTCCAAATGGTATAGAACCGCCATCCAATTAGCACACATTATGGGAAATACCTCAAACAAATGTTGGCATAACTGCGGGGGGATCGGTTCATTCTCCCACATGTGGTGGGATTGTAGAAAAATTCAGAATTATTATGGTAAAATTAGGATGATAATGGAAGACATAATAGGGAAAGAATTATTGTGAGATAAAGCCAGGTTCATGTCCCTCACCATAAAGGTAACTGAAGATAACAAGAATTGAACAGAAATCCTAAAATATATGACAGCCGCAATACAGGCTACAATAGCCTGGGGATGGAGAGATTATACAAAATGGCATTTGGAAACCTGGTGGACCTATCTATCAGAATATATAATTATTGATTTTATCAGTCAAAGGAAAAACAAGTATATAAATAGACAAATAGAACAAGACTGGTTTAGGAAATGGTCTGTGTTAATTGACAAATAGACGGAGATGACAGATACAGCATTTTGAACCAGGCTTTCCACACGGTTAAAGTGATGCAATGACATGATTTAGAATTGCTGTTCCGGGGGGGGGGGGGGGGGGGGTTGTTGGCCGATACATACATACATATATATATATCTCCTATAAATTCCAGGAACTACAACTCCCAAATGTCAATTTCTCTTTTCTCCAAATTCCACCGGTGTTCACATTTGGACACATTGAGTATTTGCACCAAGTTTGGTCAACATCCATCATTGTTCGAATCCATAGTGCTTTCTGGATGTAGCTGAACTACAACTCCCAAACACATGACCAATGCCCACCAAATCTTTCCAGTACTTTCTGTTGGTCGTGGGAATTCTGTGTGCCAAGTTTGGTTCAATTCCATCATTGGTGGAGTTCAGAATGCTCTTTGATTGTAGGTCAACTATAAATAACAGCAACTACAACTCCCAAATGACAAAATCAATCCCCCCAAACCCACTAGTATTCAAATTTGGGCATATCGGGTATTTGTGCCAAATTTGGTCCAGTGAACGAAAATACATCCTGCATATCAGATATTTACGCTACGATTCATAACAATTGCAAAATTACAGTTGTGAGGTAGCAACAAAAATAATTTTGTGCTTGGTGGTCACCACAACATGAGGAAGTGTATTAAGGGGTCACGGCATTCAGAAGATTGAGAAACACTGTCTTAGTTGGCCTGGAGATAGTTTGTAGGTTGTGATTCCCTATGTGGTCAGTG